TATCTATTATTTGTGCAGAGGAGAGGAAATAGTAACGCCGGCGGAACAAACTGGATTGGTAAAAAGAGAATTATTTATGGAAAGTTTTATTGAGAAGAGGTGCCGGGCCTGAAAGTATATATTTGAAAGTAGGTAATTCTGGAGAATTCATCGATAAAGATTTGGCCCAGCACGCATGGGGTCCGATTGTGAGTGCTCTTTGTCGAGCTTACGATAAAGCACCAGACAGATTGCAGCACAAAGTGACTGAAACATTCCTTAGGTTTGTGTTTTTCTCTTTATCTATCTTTAGCTATCTTAAATTTACATTTATATTAACTATAACATTTATATTAACATTTATTAACTTTTCGTTTTTCTCTTTCAGTTGCGCGGCTATCAGTGCTCATCATAGCATGTGCGGCGAGTTGGATACGCTTATAGTGAGTCTGTGTAAATTTACGGGCTTGATAATCGGCGGAAAACCTGAGCAAGTGGTTTTACATCTTGGTGAAAGTTCGAAATCCCAAAGGGCTGCTGATACCCTCTTCGAAATAACGCGTTTACACGGGGATGCTTTGAGAGCCTCTTGGAAAAATATTATCGATTGTCTACAATCGCTCTATGAGGCGAGGTTGTTGCCGGAAAACCTAACAGAGGCGGAGGACTTTATTGATCCATCTGGCAAAATATCTTTACTCCGAGAACCAACAACACCCAAAGCTTCTTCGGCCGATCAAGGAATATTAGCATCATTCCTCAATTTCTATAATGCTGATACGTCACGAGTGTCACATCCTGCTGAGGCGACCGCGCGAAAGAAAGCCATGGAATTTATCGCCAAATGTTGTCTTGAGAAAATTATAGAGGAAAGCAAGTTCTTTCAGGTAAATCGATGTTTGATTGTTACATGATTGTTATAATTATGATTTTAATATATATATTTTAATAATCTTTATCATTTTGCAGAGTGAATCACTTAATTCTCTCGTTGGTGCTTTAGTTTCGGTGAATTCTAATGACGAAGATATATCTATATTTCTATTGGAATTACTGCTAAAAGTAACTATACAGAATCGCGATAGAGTAACATGTATCTGGCCGGTAGTCCAAGGTCATTTGGATCGTCTGTTAACGGTAGCTGCGCGTGAGAATCATCCTTACTTGCTTGAGAGAGTGGCTGTGGGTATGCTGAATTTGGCTATCAGACTTTTACGCGGAGAAGAATTTGCGTGTCTGTCTCCTCTATTATCTTTGACCCATTTGCCGTCTGCGACAACCGCACCGTTAGCTCGACAAATCGCCTATGGTCTGTTCGAGCTGCTGAAAACGGGCGCCGCTAATATTCACAGCGCCGAAGATTGGAAGGTGGTATTCAGTCTTCTGGAGTGTGCTGGTGCAGGCGCATTGGCGCCTAGACGATCCAACACGGTCTTGGACGAGACGGCGAACGCTCGGGCATCGGTTTTGGACCCTAGACCTATTAGTCCCGTACCGGAATGGGTATTAGTGTCGCCGACTGGTACAGAAGCGCCGCTTCCGGTAGCCGCCGATACGATAGTGCTGGCGCGTGATTTGCAACCGCACGATTCGGTGGCGTTCGTTAAATGCTGCGAAAGCCTAAACTTCTTGGTGCGTGATATGGCGCATGTTACGCCCTTTAATTTTGATCTGTGCATTAACTGCGTGAGAACGTTTGCCGAGGCAGTACTGCAATGCGCGGGAAAACGAAACAGAGTATGCAATTCTACGGAGGAATTGATCGGCTATCAAAAGAGCTTTGAGCAGCTGTTGAAACTAATGGAGACGCTACATACAAGAATCGCACGGATATTCCGATGGTGGGCAGATGAAGGTAGCATTGATGATGGTATATCTTTATGGCCGCAAGCCTGGCGACCTCTACTGCAAGGTATTGCACGACTTTGCTGCGATACTCGCAAAGAGGTACGCGTAGCGGCAATCTCATATCTTCAAAGAACCTTGTTAGCGTCCGATTTGGCACAATTGTCCGCAATAGAGTGGTCGCAATGTCTAGAAGAAGTATTATTTCCACTGTTGGCGCAATTACTGGGTCCGATTGCAGCCAACGATCCTGTCGGCGTCGCAGAAACGAGAGTCAGGGCCGCGGGGCTGGTCTCCAAAGTTTTTCTTCATCATCTAACTCCTCTTCTGACTTTACCCGGTTTTCTGCCGTTATGGTTAACGATACTCGAATTTCTACGGACGTACATGCATGCCGATAACAGCGAAAATTTATTTGAAGCGATCCCCGAATCGCTAAAGAATATGTTGCTGGTGATGTCGTCGACCAACGTTCTAGTGCCGAGCTCCAATCTTTGGGCGCCCACGTGGAGGGCAATAGACGCGTTTCTGCCGAATCTGAGAACGGAACTCTTCCCAGAACCGCCCGTCGCTGTTCTGTCGCCACCGCAATCGCCGCCGCAGCAATCACTGCAGCCACAGGTTATCAGCTTGGTCGGCCAACAGCAATCACCATCCTTTCCGGGATCTATAGCTCCACAACCAGAAAGTATTTCTGCTTCGGCTGACGTTGAAAACTTCATTGAGAACAATGCAGATGCGAAGACCGCGACGCAGTCTGTGGATATTCTTAATTCTGCGCAATCCGCCGGAATTCCAGTTCCAGTTTCGTTGCCGACATTGATGTACAATACCGAGAGTAAGGAGACGCAACAAGTGATTACTCTAATTGGTCAACCAGCGCCCAGCGTGTCCAGTCCGGTCGCGGTGCAACCAACAGCTCAGACTTTCTTTGATATTTGCTACTCAGTGAATTCCTTAACCGGCGAAAAGACGTTTGAACGACAGCAGCATCAGCAGGAACAGCAGCAGCATCAACAGGAACAGCAGCAGCAACAACAACAACTACAACAACAGCAACAACAACTTTCTGTGCTAACAAGCGAGGAAGAACATAGCAAATTGGTAAAGAACACGGCGCAAAATGTTGGTTTGGCAGATGAAAAGCGTGATTTGGTTCTTGCGATGAAAAAATATGAGGAATGGAAACAACAACAGGAACAGCAACAACTGTTGATGCAACAACAGTGTACGCAATCTGTGCAATCATACGGACAGACAATGCGATATCAACATCCGACGACAGAAAATTCCCCATACCGCGTGGGTCCGTCAGAGGTAAATCTATGTCTTATATCTTGACCGGATCTTGAATAGTTAATCGTTCGGGTCAATACTTTGTCTTGAGATTAATCAGTATAATTCTTTTATACTAAATTAACGGAACAATCAATATGTTAATTCATTAACATTAATGAAGCGATGGTTAAAAATGTTTTTTGCGAGCGCATTTGTAATTGTGAAAAATCGATATGATCCATAGCTTCATCATATGGAAAATATAATTGAATAGTTTACTTTTTCCGATAGCGGAAGCTATGGTAAAATGTAACTCAATATTTTGTTTACAGACGAAGACAGTAGATTCTGATGGGGCGACGACGTTTAATTCCGCGACGTATTTTAGCGAGGATCCGGCGGATCTTCTCTTCGTCGTCACTAATCCTTGACCACTGTATATTTCTTATGTATAAATTGTATCATATAAAATATTTCTACAGTGCGTGGTTATATTCTGTGTAGAACATCGAGAATGATTGATTATAGATAAGGAAAAATAAGCATAGGCGCAGAGTTGTTGTATCTTTGGTTTGTATTTGGAAAGCACTCATTATATACAAATAATATATATGTACCATACAGGTATGTTCGCGTTATTGTTAAGATTATCATTTATTGCGTAATCTCAGCAATAACAATGACAATACAACTCGTTGTTCTCGGCTCCTAGTGTTCATCACTCCTAGCACTCGTTACATCATATGTTTCGTTTTTAAATTTTTTGCATTTTTTGCGGACGAAAGGAGCTCTTCACGAATAAGCCAAATGCATAGGCCAAATCTTCTTGAAAAACCGATCAGTTTCTCATTACTGATGTTTTATCGACGTGTTGCATCTGTGTTTCACATACACACATAGAATGCTGCGAATCATCTATCTCGATTCATACAAATTCTACTTAACATTTACAAATTCTACTACTACAGCAGGTAAGAGAATTCTAATCTCTCATGTCCGCATGAATACGTGTGTTAGGTTCGTACATGTTCAATGCGATTTATAGAAAATGGCAAATTAATTGACAATGATTTCGAGAATCCATTGCGATCTCAACGAGTTTCGAGGCCGAAGATATTGTAAATACGCGAAAGACAGTCTTGCGTCAGTCGTTGGCGATTCCGTATCACGAACAGGTAAAAGGTGTTGAGCTCTGCATATGCATTTATAGCCTCGATAAGAACGAACTCTACGAAATTACATCGGTTTTCATCGTTGTTTGTAATTATACTTTTAACTCAAATGTCTCTCCATTTGTGCGATATCGTAGACCAATCTGTACATATGCAAATAATATATTGAATAAGAAGAGAGATTTGTACACGTATCATGTTTATGTTCCCGGAGCCAAAGAATATCCAATGAATAAAGCGGCCTCTGCGCGATCAATATCTCGATACAAAAGATAAGAATGAAGCTAATAATGTAATATATATTAATATATAATGATTAAATTATAATGATATATTAATGCAGATGTGAAAGGACTAATATAATATGGAAGTTGTACAATAATACCTTCTGAATATAATAACAACGTAGATAAAATGACAATTGATATCAATAAATTATTGTGGAATATTGTTTGTGCGCAGGGGTTGCTTCATATTAGATGTGCCAACCGATCATTTTCTAATTTTTTAAATTAATACTTTTTTTGGTATCAAAAATAGAACTTTTAAATTTTCTGACTTTAATATTCATCAAAATAATTGATAAAAAAATTAGAAAATTCCAAACTAGTGTCTTTAATACAAAAAAAATATTAATTTAAAAAATAGAAATAGACTGTATGACTGTACATAGACTGTATGACTGTGAATAGAACATGACATACATTTCTAGTGTAAAAATTATATCAATATTGCGTATTTTCGTATTGCAGTTCGGAATTATCATTAAAATTTATTTTTTTTTTTTTTTTTTTTAAATTTTTCCTTTCCTTATTTCTTTTACGGAGATAATTCCCTTTCTCGAAGATGTACCCGCGATTATTATTAGCTCTTAGGGTAAGAACATTTTATTATATCCCTGAGAACGATGCCCTCGTTTTTTTTTACTCGTATACAACACGCGTTCCTTCATATGCGCGGGGATACGATAGTATTTATCGAAAATTTTAGAGTCCCATTACTGGCACGTGACACCTATCTAATGTTCGTGTAAGTAATAATATTGTTCAGCAATATACATAAATAATAAAGCGCCGCGTCCTCGATCGTTAGCAAAAATCATGCGATAAAAAACTCTAATCGTAAATAATGTACATAAAAATATATCATTTCATTTGTCTCTCTCTTGCTCTCTTTCTCTCTCGCTATGATTTCATTCATATTTCATCTCGAGCGTTGTACGCCCGATCCAATCCACATTCGCGTCGACGCATTTCGGACGTCTCTCGAACGAATCGTCTTCCCTCCAGCTCACCGCTAAACCCTTTCCCTCTCGTTGACGCGATTAATTGGATCGGCGAGATAAATTGGACGGAATTCGGCTATCGCTAAGCTACTGCGTCGCGCTGCGTCTGCAATAATAGCCCAACGTCTTACACTTCTCGCAGAGATGCTGAGGATGTACCTTGCTCTGATCGGACACGTCCAGACCATCGGGTTTTTCCAACGGCCTCTGAAAATAATAGAAATGATTTTCTACTGCCCACACCGTTTGCGCTTTCGCGAGTGAAGAAGCGAGACGAGAATAGAAATCTTATTAGAGATCTCGATCCGAATGTGGTCTCAACGTACAAAGACGTTCTCCTGTTCGCCCGACGTTAAATTACGTCTCACTAATACAATTGGCATTGTTGCAATGTAATTTAGATCGACGTCGTTAACATTGTCGAATTGACATTCGTTTCCCAGTTTCGGTTTTCGGAAGAGAAGAACTTGGCGGTGGTACAGCGATCTTGGAATCGTCATCTACTCGCTCGCGGAGCGGAGCGGCGTAGCCGCTGACACTCGATTATAATAGGAATTTCGCGAACGCCTTTTGGGATCTGTAACGTAACGATTACCGGTGACTCCGACCGGAGTATTTCTGCACACCGGACGGCAAAGAGCGCGGCCGAGCGCGATTATGCGACTATAATTAGCTTTCGCGTCGGTTTGCACGAGATTTCGTTCTCTCGGCCGCGCAATATTTCGAGAGAGCGAAAACGGTTCCAAGAGTCTTTTTAGCGAGACCGACGGCGGGGCCCCCGTCGTCGTGGAAGATTCCGACTAATTTTATGTTCTAACGATTAAACCAGACGGGGAGAAAATCACCGCGAAATCAGATGGAGGAGATGGACACCTCCATCCCCCGCGCGCTCACCTGCTTGTGAGGGTACACGTTTATGTGACACTTGATGCACTCCTGGCCCATATTGGCCCAGCTGTTGCCCGACATCCACTTGCGCTTGCACTTGGGACATTTGTATTCGCCGAAGCACCGCTTCTTGCCTTGGTACGGCGTCAGGCCCTCGCCCTTCGGTCGTGCCTGCGGAAATTGCGCAAATTTTCTTAATCGAGAAATTCAATTTCCCATTCTTTCGGTCTTCCCGCCGCTGCCGCGAAATTTCACGAAACGCAAATTCGGCAAACGCTTGAGCGATCGAATCGTTGAAAGCCGCGTATGTCGGGGATGTTGGCTCGCCAAGCTCGGCAGGTGGACCATAAATCTCTCGCATATATAATTAATATCGCGTAGAATTTGAAAATGATGTCGACAAATGAACGGTCAAATGACCATTGAAGAGGCTGATGCGCGAGCATTCGTGATACTCGCGCACAGATACAGCTTTCAAAGGGATATTATCTTCTTTGAGAAATACAAAGATCCTTCGTGAAATCTCAAATCTCAAATCGATCGATCAGCGTCGATCAATTATTTCATTTCGACTTGGAGAATAATTGCATTAGAATTCTACCCCCTGTCGATAAATGAGAGTAATGTGAGAAGTAGTCACCTCCATCCGAGAGAAGCGTCTTAATTGGCTCACCCTCATCGAGCATGCCGCGTTGATTGACCGTGTGACGTCATACGTCCCAGAGATGCTGTTTGTTATGTCAATTAGCGCCCAATTGATGCACGCGCATCTCGCTATTGTTGCATCAAGGCACGCGTGCCGCTTTACGAGTATCGCTACATTTACTCATGGCTCGTTACGAAAGTTTTGTGTTCTCTGATAGAGATCTTTGCTGAGTCATTTCAACGAAATGAGAGAAGAAAGAGAAATTCTTTCCTATCGAAAAGAACGGATTTACTTTTAGAAGCGATTTAAAAAATTTGACCAGATATAAATAATTTTGTTGAGTCATCAGAAATAATTATGTAGGATACTCAAATTGATTGCTGGAATGGCAAAAATTTTTGCAATATTATAACACGTAACACTTAAGCGTCCTACATAATATTTTTGATGATCTAACAAAATTATTTTCAGCTCTGTATCTGTAACCAAGTTTTTAGATTTACTTCGATAAAACCGATAATATTTCATATATGTTTTACACTAACATTAATCAATTTTTTTTTAAGAGAAAGAATGAACTTTTGAACGATAAAAAGATAATATTATATTCGGAAATTATTTTTTTCTGAATATTTCCTAGTTATCAAATCTCAATTGAATCAATAATATATCAGTATTATAATTTCCTATTTAACAATATAATTGTTACGTATAACACACATTATATTGAGGAAATTATTGATGTAATGTCATCATTACTTGATATTTATTGAATTAGTTAGTGAAACAAAAATTTGTTATGATTAGATATTATGATTTGCCTTATGCTATTTTTTTATTAATTTTATATATTAAATTTAAATGTCTTAATTATAACTGAAAAATTTAAGAATGTATTCTGTAAGTAAATTGGGATATCAAAAAAGTATGCTGAAAATCGTAATAGGATGCTTTTCGGTTTCAAATATTAGTGATTAATATTCAATTTATTAATCATCCATTTAATCTTGATTTTATCTTCTATCCATCACTTTGTCCGATTCTCTATCAATGCTTTATCTAAAGCTCTATTCATTCTTAATCGAGCCTTATATTTTTATAATAAAGAGCTGATAAGATACATCTAAAACATTGTTGCGTTGTTAGATGACATTGATGTAGTAATCGATCAACTTTTCCAGTGAATCAGACGTAGATTAATTAATCGCGTTTTAAAATCTTGAAATCGAATCATGATACGACAAAGATTACATTCAATTGCAGTATACTACAAGTTGTACTATGCACATCTGATTTTAAACTTCAATTTATGATTGCAATTTATATTTTCTTATTCGAGATTTAATTAACTGTTTAAAAAACGCTGATTTGCTTCAATGTTCTTACAAAGGAATCTTATACGATACTCGTGAGAGTTTTTATTTGTATTTTATATGGAAGATAATAATTATAAAATTATTATAATTGGAATTATTATAAAGTATGGAAATTATTGTGAAGTATTGAAAAAAACAATGAATCCTTTTAAAAAGTAACGAAATATGTAGCTAAGATTAAAATTAAGTAAAATAAGAAAAGAACGTGTAAAGCTTTTAAAAAAATACTGACCTGTGGGCAATCCTTAATATAATGTCCTTTCTTGAAGCACAAGTGACACAGGTATGTTGACGGCGGCTTTTTTATCGGTTTTCGGTCGTTCAAGACCAATTCGTTAAAATGTACCGCTAAATCCGCGATACTTTCCGTTCCGCTATCTCTCATGGGTCTGACGGATCCGGACGGATTCAACGCGTTTTGATGTAAATAAGCCTGCGATGTCGCACCGGGAAAATTGCTCCAGATCGTAGGAAGCAGTTTGCTCTAAAATGTAAACAAATAATCCGATCGATTTTTTTCAAAAATGACATTTGTTTTGAAAGGGCCTCGGGACAGCCTGAGTTCTTCTTTTCGGATATTTTTATTATTATTTGTTAGACTAAAGGTGTAATCTGTAGTTATTTAGCATACAATTTCCAGGTTTTGAAGATAAGATACTTTAAGACAATCTGGAAATAAACTCTTTATCTTTACTAAGGCACTGATCAAAAATTGAACTCGAGATGTTCAATGTATTGAAGAGTTCAGGTATTTAGATAAAGATAAATTCTGATCTTCGGGTATTTCGGTATTCGTCGTTCGGATGGCTACCTGATCAGGTGGTTGCGACGGATTTTGCTCGGCGATGGCCAGGTAGACCCAGTTGAGCAAATGCGGCGGATAGGACGATTGCTGAAGAGTCTTTTGATTCGAGGCACCTATGCCGTTGATCGCACCGTAACCCGTATGAGCCGAGTTTTGCAACTGCAGGCGTTGCACAGCAGGTGTCGAATGGCAAGCGGCCATCTTTTTATCTAATCGGCTTGTAAGTTTATCGGTTCCGAGTGGTGTCGTCGTTTCCTGCCACCGACGGCGATTCCCTTCGGTAATCGTTTATCATCTCCCCGTCCTTGAATCCGAGCGACATTCTTCTCATTTAATTCGTCGTCAAGAACTACTTCTTCATCAATCTTCCAGGGAAACTTTTCGGATTATAAAGGGAGAAAAATTAATGTTAAAATTATTGATGCTGATATTTCTTCGTTTCTCAATATTCCCTAATTTCTCTTAATTTTTATTTTAACGCATTTGTGATTAACGCATTAGTCAACTTCGATGACTTTCGTAAATGGCTTTCAAATCTGGAACTGTCATCACGAATCTTCATAAAATATCATTGTTTATACGACATTTAAATAGAATCGAATTGAAGATATTACCATAAGGTCAAAGAAAATATTAAAAATGTGAAGATATTATAATCTTATTATGCAATTTCGAATATGCCTCAAATTACTTCTTTTCTTCGGGAATTTCACTACGGAATTTCGTTGCGTTGCTTCATCGATCCTTCTCTCGATGCAACAATTCTTGGAAAAGTACATCTTCTTCAAAACGTGCACTTGACTTTTGGGGGGGGATCGCTCTTTAAACTTATCTCGCCTTCTGATATGCTACCGAGATGCGTATTCTTGCATGCACATTGCGGAAACGGTTTTCTCGGAATATTTCCGATTTCATGCTTTTCGCTCTTTTCATCAATCAACAGCTGTGGAAGCTCTCTTCTACTTCTCGTAAAATCATCTGTATCATCTTCGCATTTATCATTAAGTACGTTTTCACTATTTTTAATGCTGATCCAGATAGCTGATCCAGTAGATCTCTCTTTCTTAAATTACTAATAAATTATCTTCCGTCCAAAATCACTCTATTTAATTCATTTCTGATCGTGACGGAACGATGAAAGCCCCCCTCCCCCCCGATGAAAGCTCGTATCAGTTTTAACTCGCGGAAGGATGCGGCATTTCTTCAACCGCTCCGAGCTTGCACAGATATGAAAATGTGTCGCACCGCGTTATCGAGAAATTGCGAAACTGTGAAATTGCAACCCGCATGTATGACTCACACCCGTTCTCCACGCAATCACGCGCGTCAAAGTCACCATTTCAAGTGTCTTCGTACTCGCATAATATCAATATCGGACGATCCGCTCGACGACGACGAGGAGGAGGAGGACGACGCACTCGCGCACTTCCGGGACCACTCGCTGTCCCGGACTCGCTGCGGCTAAAAAACTCGCGCGATTTTCACGCGATTCCCACGATGCGGTCTCGGATCGCAGACGGATCCGCACTTCTCGATCTTCGTGACTTCTGCGCCCGTTGCTGCCCGAGTGCGACGCGCTCGCTGCGCGTCATATTAGACCGAAGACGATCCGACGTCGGGCAAACGTTCGAGACGCACGGCGAACGAATGCGGAGCGAACGCGCGTTAGAGCGGCGGCCGGACGCGTTACGCGGGGGAGCGGAGGAGGACCGAGAGCCGGAGGAGAATCGAGCCCCGCCATGTGGTGCGTCTATTTCCGTGCTCTCGACCGACACGGCGCCTCCGAATGGACCCCGACTCAAGCGGTTCCTTCTGTTGCGCTCCTCTGCTCTCCATCGATCCACGAAACGTCTCTCATGATCGTGGACCACGTGGCTTGACACAGACGCGCTCGTCCACGCACGATATCCGTGATAATAATTCATTCCTCGATGCTACGGCATTCCTCAGACATTCTAGGTTTCCTATGTGGTTGTTATTCTGTGTGCTATATAGGAAAGGATTTTTAGGAAAGAGCAATTTTACCGAGGTATCTAAACATTTGATCAGATATAGATCAGAAAATGATCTTACGCTTGAACATCGGTGATAATATTATAAATATTTTTGGCTCAACTTGAGCGCCCTACGTAATTATTTTGGTGGCTTAATAAGATTATTTTTAGATCTGCACCTAGATCTGGTGAAATGTTTAAATATTTCAATAAAGCCGTTTTTTTTCCATGTAAAGAATGCTATTACTATTACTAATAATTATTACTAAAATAAAGTAAATTATTAGTAGTATAGTTTAATAAAAGGAGATTTTTTAGATCGTTATGATCATGTGCTCTGTAAATTATTGTAAGGTTATCACAAATATAGTATATTTTATGAATTGAGAAAAATTATTAGATTGTATTATAATGCAATTGAAATACTTTGATTACTTCTTTTCTCTTCGGGAAAATTTCGACAAAAGATGAGTGCGCTAGAATACGTACGAGATGCATTGTACGCATTGCATCGATATTTTTATTATTTAATGTCGGAATCGCGTTTGAAGGACCGTTGCCTTCGGTCACGCTTATCAAGGAAAGTCACCGAACTCGTCTATAAATAAATTTCAATTGCTATTCGTGTATCGATTGTACTCACCGAGTTGCGGCGATAAATTCACTATGACGCGGAACATCTTTGACACGATAGCGAGGAAATTGTATTCGTCTGAACGATCGCTCAAGTTGCCATCGATAGGATCGATCTGAGATAAGCCGTCCCGAAATTCCTGCTTACATTTTTTCAACAATTTTGTTCCTTGCACATCATATAAAGTCAAATCTTTATCCCGGCAACACGACAATTTGAATAATTTTCGAGCCACATCGTGAATTTTCCTAATTATTCGAAGAATCTCGTATGTATGTTAACCAAAAATTTTTACAATTTTTATTCTATTTTATATTACTGTGTATTTTATTTATTATTTGACTATATTTTTATTTTAGTAAAGAATTCGAGAATTTATCGCAATTCAAATTTAAATTAAATAAATTGTCAAATACAGCTCAAAATGCATGTCGTTATCTTGTGACATTATCTGCTTGTATGTCTTTTAATTATAATACATTCTCTTTATCTTGACTCTTTACATATCTATCTATTTTTATCTAGCTCGATCTTACAATGTTGACATAATTGATGGAATTCCGATTTTTTCTCGAAAAAAATACGTTAAAAAGATGAATTTTTTACAAGTAAAATGAGAATAAATAACGATTAATATGCGTTCAACGTAAATTAAATAAATTTTAATTATCGGTAATAAATAAATTAAATTAATTATTAATTTAATAATATGTGTAATTACAGCTTTTCAGCTTTGGCATGAAATTGCATTTCAAGGCTAAATATTAATTGATTTTTTTAATTTAAAAGCATATAAACAAAATGTATGAAACTCATTTAGCAACAATTTTTTTTAAAAGGGAGATTCCGCTCTATAATCGAAATATTAATATTTATTTATTCCATGAATTCTTAACTTTGCAGAAATGTCTTAATGATCGACTTCCCCCTTTTAACCCATCTTCCTGTACCTTCGAGTGAGGACCACCCCTAACTAATTACCGGCAGATCGATAATCATCGATGAGGGCTGTGCACGAGGCTTTTCGAAGCAGTTCAGGTTTGTCGACGAGCGAAGCAACATTAAGAATTGTGACTTCTTCGATTGTAACAAATATACACAAGATATTATTTGCATATTTTACTAGCATAATTTGAAGCGTAATTTTTTTCTCATAAAATGTGTGATATTAAAGTGATGGAATTTGTTGGCTGGAAATTTGTTGAAGTTTATTTATGATACGAAATGAACTTAATCGTTATTTAAAAGGCTGAAGGCAACAAATATTACAATATTGATTTAGCTTGGAATTATTTAAAATTAATTTTAAAATTATAATTAAATGATTAATTAATGTCCGATTTTATTGTATGCCTTTTAGTGCGTAAATCTGGATGCACAAAAAGGTTTGCGATTTTTCGCTAGCGAAAGAAATTCGTGAAATTTCTCGTCATTCATTTTGCGAATAAAATGGAGAAATATGAAAATATCGAGATAGTGGGTGAGGGAAGTTATGGACTCGTGATGAAGTGTAGGCATCGTGAAACCGGACAAATAGTGGCGATAAAAAAGTTTTTGGAGACGGAGGAAGACGTGCAGGTGCGAAAATTGGCGTTTCGCGAAATAAGGATGTTAAAGGTATTAATTATTGAAATCTTATCGTTATTAAGAACAAGATTAATTCGTAATAAAGTCAAAATTAATATTTATAAATTTATTTATATGTAATTATTTGTTCGATGAGAAGTTCATTCTGTTTTTATTCTTATTTTATAAAATGTTTATTTTATTACTGAAAAATACAGCGTGTTGTATTGATATTAACGGCAAATTTGATCTAGAAATTGCATCATGAGAATCTGGTGAATATGATTGAAGTATTTCGTCGAAGAAAGCGGCTCTATCTCGTGTTTGAATATCTCGATCACACCCTGCTTGATGAATTGGAGGAAAGTGTAAATGGTCTCGACTTGGAAAGATCGAGACAGCATATTTTTCAAATACTTCGTGGCTTGGACTTCTGTCATAATCACAAAGTAAGTAAAATCTTTAAACTTAATCAAATTTTTTTTTATATTCTTGTAACATTACAGAAAAATCTTTATATCATAATTATTTTCATTGTCTTTACATTATCTTGTGTATTGTATATATTTTAAGATTTTTCTAGGTATAAAAAAAAGATCTTGTTGCGAAAATATTAATAGAAATATTTTTCACTAAAAATTACAATTTATTTTTATTATATTATCTTGTATTTAAAAGAAACCTAGAATATGCACAATGAAATTATTTTTTGCCACCTTTATATATTTTTATATATTTTTTTATATATCTTTATATATTTTTAAATTTTTCAAATACGTTAACTATTTAATAAGTTGAGCAACACATGAAACACTTTGTTGAAAGTAACTATTGCAATAAAATAAATATTAAAACTTTAAATTTTTCACTAAAATTAATTTATATTTTTGAAAAACACAAAATATCTGTATGTGCGCCACAGAGACGTACATTTATTTATCAGCAACCTTTGGCAATAAGCGTGCCTTCGTTACGGTAAAGTTCACGGCCGTGACGCTCAAATTCCAAGTTGCAGTAAGCCGTGCATGTATAGTAACACGCAACGGCCGGATAACTTAATGAATGATAGCATTGTAACAAACGAGGGCAATGGTTGCCATATTTAGTCATGCTTGACTCGGAAAGTTCTAACGTAACGGAGAACAATCTTTATTTTCCCACTGCGATCGCTGTTATAAAGGAGGATTCTACAAACAATGCAGTGATTCTACAATTTGCAATTTTATCATAAATTAACCAGATAGTTTTCTCAAATTTTTTCCACTTTTTATCTTTGATTCTTCCGTTCTTAGAAATTTTTTTCTGGATAAATATTGCCTTACTTATTTTTATAGCAAGGTCCGGATTTCTCTAGACATCCTATCCATTTTATTAAGTTCGACTGCGACGTTTCACTTTTATTTTTTTTGTTTTGACTATTCAAATTATTTCTCAGATAGAGAGATTTTCCTTGCGATAGATCATGCATCGCGACGTAAAGCCTGAAAACGTGTTGGTATCGCCGAACGGTGTAATCAAGCTTTGCGACTTCGGGTTTGCACGCTATGTCACCAACGAGTCTTGTACTGATTACGTGGCGACAAGGTGGTACCGCGCGCCAGAACTTCTCGTCGGTCATTCCAAGTATGGTAGAGAAATCGATGTTTGGGCGGTCGGTTGCATCTACGCCGAGATAATCACCGGTCAGCCTCTCTTTCCCGGTGACAGTGACGTCGATCAGCTGTATCGTATCACAAAAGTCTTCGGTGAGTGGGGGGGGATGAAGAGGATGGACGATGATCGGTGAAGGAATTTAGCCAATTAAAAGATCGATCAAATTTCATCTTCAATTTTAGGAATAGATTTCAGACATTTTTATTTCTTGCAATAATATCGATTCGAGAAAAGTAGAAGTATTTCAATTAATTATAATTATGTAGCTTGAACTTAAATATAGATTTAAAAAAATAAGAAAATTATTAGTTGCCAAGGATGCTTTATCGAGCATTGTCGATATTTTATTTCTTGTGTCATATGAAAATCATTATTTGTGTTATATTTTGTTGATATTTTTATGACATTGGCATAGGTCTTCATTTTGTTATCAATCGTGTACTTAAAAATAGAATTTTATGAATGATAATATTTTAGCAAAATAATAAAAAATAATGTAGAGCAATTCTTTATATAAAATTTGTAGTCCATTGTTTGTTTGCTGAAATATAAGTGCGAGGTACTTGGTTGTATTATCTTATTAAATCTGGCATGGTCATATTTGGCAATGTATTGCCGAAAACAGGTCCTCTTTATGGCAAGCAGCCGCCAAATGGTAGCGCCCATATAATTCTATTTCGGCACGCGAAAGCTGATGACGTTGCTGGTTTAACGCGATCTACCGCGGCTCTCCGAAGTCTCTTTCCAACGTGGAGCTCGGTGGCAGTTGACTTTCTGGCGCAGTGTCTTCGTACGGATCCTGTCGTCAGGCCAAAGTGCCTGACGTTGCTGCGTCATCCGTTCTTCCTGCAGGATGGTTTCGCCGACAGATTCCTCGGCGAGTTGCAGCGACTTGTTGCGAAAGAGTCCGCGATGAATCCGCTTGGAACAAAGAGGGCGGAAACAGGATCTTCCAGGATCTGCCGTAGCAGCATCGGAAGGTTGAGGAATAATAACGAATTAATCTAACTCTATAACAAATTAGCTTATTAAAGTTTAAATGGCAAATTAAAAATATTAAATTTTTGTAGTAAAAAATAAATTGTTAAATATTAATTGTTAATATTATGAAATTTCAATAAACAAAATGTAAAACAACTATAAAAGATTTTAAAGACTTTATCGATTTTATTTTACCTTTTTTTTTTGTTATTATAAGATTTATTTCATTATCTTTCTATTTTTCTGTTATTATTATTATTATTATTATTATTATAATTCGTGTTTATCGCTTCTAGATGGCAGATGACGTTGATCAAAGAGAGGCAAGCGGTGAATACCAACATGGTAGCGGTGAATAACAACGTGGAACCCGAGACGACGGAAAGCGAGGATTCGCGGGGAGATCGAGTTAACGCAAATGTCGCGAACAAGCTGCAAATGAGTCGACCACGCGAATTACGTTACTTCGGACCGGTCTCGGTAATACCGAACACCACGTATATTCGACGGCTGGAGCACAAAGGGCTTCTGATCCCTGAATCGAAGGGCTGTGTCTTGCCGGCTCTAACGTCGAAGACGAATGCCAAGAGAAAAAAGCTCGATCTCCCCGGCGTGAAAAATCGTTGATCGTTGCTCAATCAACAGCATGCTTCTTTTTCGTGATATTAATGCCGTAATGAGGAAAGAATGAAAGGACTGTACAGAGAAACACTCGTTATATGCGAGAGACGTTAAACGCGCGCCCACGTGTACATACTTTGTAAATAAAAATGTAAATGTGAAATGTCGACAATGCATTTGCAAATGCGATTTTTTTCGTTCTGTAAGAAAGAATAAATAATGAGAAAGTTTTTCCTTTTATTTTACTGAATATTTAAATTGAACTTTGTCGTCCAGTGTAGATAAAAATGGAGTTTGCATTGGAAGCATTATTGAAATGATATGCGAATTGACAGATCGAGTTCAAGTAGAGCCGTAAATATTATCATCATATTATGTCGTATGATAATAATTAATTATCGAAATTCGAGGAGCAGAAAAACTGGTCTGGAAAGACGTATCTATAGGCCATACATATGAGATGCTGAATGATTTTCAAGAGTTTTATTACATCGTGCAATTTTACACGAAAAATACACGAAATATTATTTAGAAAATTTTATTGTTTCGATTTTTGCGATTTAATCGAGAAAAAAATAGAATAAATTTAATCCTTTAAAACTTAGGCATATTGAAGACATCCGTTTTGATATCATATCTTGTGAAATTCTGTTGAAATAAAATAAAATGATATGAAATTCAAATCAACAAATGCATCGTTGTAAAAGAGAAAAACTTTTTATATAATTTATCTTGGAATTAATTAGTTTTGTGTTGGTTATATTAAAATACTTAATATATTAAAATAAAATAATATTTCTATTTTATATTAAAAATAATACTAAACGTATTAGCGATATAATAATTATAAGAAGATATATTTATTTACAATTAATATTTAATGGATTACATATTCTAAAAGAATAATTTAATTATCTATATATTTTCTAAATGTAATTTCGCAAAGGAATTAAATATCAAATATTAATTAATTTTAATTTTTAAAATTAATGTTAATCGATATTTGATATTTAAATATAGTGTTATCGCTTTATTCGCGCGAAGAAAGATATAAAGAACAATATGATAAAAATAAAATAATATGATAAAAATAATAAATCCTTGAACAAAATTTTTTGGAATGTAATTTTTATATTTATAGTAGAAGTGCTCGATGTGTTATAAAATGACTTTTACGATCTTACACTAATAGATATAAAAATTCAACTATAAATAATTGTTAATTGGAAATTTATTTACGAATCCTCATCATGAATTTACTCGCACTATTAGAGAACGATCATTAACAAAATGATTAGATGCAAACAATTTAATTATTTAATTATTTTTATTATTTTAATTATTTTTATTGTCATCTGCGATTCGATATTTGTTATCAAAACGTGATAATCATCTAACTTGATAATACGCCTATACTAAACTTATTTTTTTAAAATATAGGAAGAGTAAAAATATGGAGAAAGTCTTTCTGTGATATGCATAAAACAAGATACGAATTGGATAATGAAAACTTATCAAAAAGAAGGATGACATTCGAAAGGAATCAGGCAATATTTTTCTCTTTTCTCCTCTTCTTCTTCTTTTTTTTTTTGTTTGAAAAAGGAATTAACTTGCAACCATCTGACATATTTAAGGGGTTTTTATTTCGGAATTGCATCCATCTTTGAAATATATAATTAATATCTCGCAACGGACGCGTTGACCCTGCAGCAAATGCGACGGGAAGAAAGAAGGAATCTTCGCCGGACGCGAAAAAATCACTGACATACATTTTTGTTTCTCTCTTTTTTTTTTTTCTCCTCGGCTGACGCCGTGCCGAAACTAAGAACTCGAGAAGATGAGAGAACATGATTTTTGGTATTGCTCACTTTTGACATGTTTACCCTGTCGGGATAATCATCACTACACTCCGCTTCCTCTCTCGCTCCGTCTTTCTCACTCGCCCACTCACCCGTTCGTTCACACTTTTTCTATCTCTCTCATTCTCGCCACCCGTTCTTTTATCATAAACTTAAGTTATATACAATTAAATATTTCATGTATTTAATTATTAGAGAAGCACCATTCTGATTTTATACTTATTAAGTGCCAATTGGTTCAATTAGATTTCTGAAGCTAAAATCATGCGTTAAATATAGCAATTAAAAAAAAATTTGTTTCATTTGCATTTTTAAAATCATTTTTATGATTTGCGTATGATTTTTCTAGGATTTTTCCTGACAAGAAAAGAGTCCTGAAAATAAAGAATGATTTTAAATTATATTATACTTGTAATTATATGTCGGAGTGTATATTATGTTACGATATAGAAAATTTTTAGCTACATCTCTTAGATTAATATTACACGATAAACTCTTGACGCATTTTCTTTTCCTTCCCTTCGCTATCTATCTCTTTCTATTTTTTTCACGCACTCGCACACAAGGGACACGCATACACATACGCACACGCGATCGTTTACCACGTTTTCCGATTCTAGCATCTCGTCCAGTATTGAAAATCGCCTCTAATCGTCACGCGAAATCTTTTCCTCTTCCGGCTCGACTTCGGAAACCGATCCGAGACTTGAAATAATCGAATAAGATCGTTCACGATCGTCTTATCGATAATCGCAGATAAATTTTGCACAAATTTCGGACGATCCTCTCGCAAAGCAATCCGCTCATTGGTCAACGGCCGGAGAAAATTCGCGTAACGAATTCGCTTCGTATTTCGTGGAGGACCGTTATAAGGCACCTTTACCTGCACTACGAAATTGTATTTAGTTAGATGTTAGACGGTTGTACGCGTGTACGCTAAGAGAACACCTGCGCAGACTAATAAATATCAGTACTTTTCGAAACTCGCTAGTTACTATTGCGCTAAACGCAAAAGTGCGCGACTCGAGACGCGCGCAAGCTCTGAGACTCTGAGAATCCGCTAAAAAGGCATTTAAGCGCAAGGACACTTGCTCGAATTGATTCGCATATTCGCTAATGCGCGCTAATACTCGCATCCTTTCCTCGCAAACACCTGGTAAAACATTTTTCCCTACGTCGTTCGCGAGCGCGATTGGATTTGCGAGGGAGTCCATCCGAAATGTCGGTTTCTTTTTTTTTTTTCTTTTTTTTCCGTTTTCATCGTCACAGTCTAGAATCGGGATTTCCGGAGTCGATGCGATGCCCGGCCGAATATTTGCGCGGCATTCCTCGCGAAATGGCGGTGGGGAAATAATCGAGAAACAATTTCGTCGTTTTCGCCAAGCGGACGCAATATCGCAGGTCGCATCTTCTCGAAGCTCGAAACATGAAAATCCTTCCCTTCTCTCTCTCGCGGAAGTCAGTGCGATAAAGAGAGTCGTCAATCGCGCCGTGTGTATTTTCCGCGGCGTCGCACGCATCCGCAGAGCGGCGACCATCGCACCTTCCAAGTTAGCGGATAATTACTGGAAGAGAGAGATAAAAAAGACGAAGTTTTTTTCCATTTTTTTTCTTTTCTTTTTAAGTTTAATTAAGTTTAATTAATTAATTAATTAATTAATTAATTAGTTAGTGGGTTAATCTACTCGAATACTGAGATAATGACTTTTCGTTTATTATTTCTCGCGCGCAAGTAACACGTAAGCGATCTATATAAAGTCAGGAACGATAATACGAGAGGAATTATGAATTTGGTTTTTATTCATTCGCGTCTTCTTCGCGTTTTCTTCCTTTTTCTTTTTTTCTTCTTTTCTTTCGCGTTGAAATTTATGCACACACACACACACTGTGTGACTCGAGAAGGTGACGTATCGTCGCCCATCGGATCGGTCGACGAGAGTCAGCGTCTCAAACAATCACAAGGTGGCCCAAAGCGTCGAATACCTCTCACTTCCTTTGGAGTTCATTCTTAAATTAAGGAGGGTAGACTTTCGTCGGCTCAGCCTTGATGCCTGCGCTCCGTTTTTTCTTTTCCTTACGCATATTATTATTAATTATTATTACTTTTTGTGTCATTAAAGTTATTATTATTAATATGAATATTATCAATATCTTCCGTATTATATTATCGGTACTATTATGATTATTATTATTAGCATTATTAATATATTATTGTTCTTATTATTATTTTTGTTATGCATTAATTGTTAATTAATTAATAAGTATTATTATTATTATTATTATCATTAGTACTGTTATTGTTGTTGCTGTTGTTATTTCGTTATTATTGGTAATATTTGTAGTAATATTATATATTACCGTTATAATCGTTAATAGTAATAATATTATTGTTATTATCATTATTATCATTGTTTGTTGCCGTTATTATTATTAATATTACCATCGTCATTATTATTAATATTATTATTATTACTGTTATTATTAATATTATTGTTGTCATTATCATTTTTATTATTATTATCATCACCCTTATCATCACCATCATTATCTTTTTTTTCACGTTTTATACATTACGATCGGTACAATGGTCGTAAACGCACTCCTTGAGCTTGTTAAAGGCTTTTTTTTTCTTTATCGAGACTTGTAGCTTTTCCTTCGACAGGAATTAAGTAGAAAAAAGAAGTAATAGTAGTATAATAGTAGAAGATGAAGAAGTAGAGGAATTCGAAGAAATGTTCCTTAACAGTGCTAGAAATACGCTTGTCTAAAGTCATTCGTAAACTGTACTGTGTGGACGCAAGTAGTTCTTCTTTTTTCTAGCAGAACGGGGCGGAATGTCTCTAGTCGTATTTTTATAATTTTCCCTCTCAATCTCACACACACGCACACTCCCTTTCTCTCTTTCGCACACACACGTACAGTTTTATCAATTTTTTTTCTCGCATATACGCATATATTAATGCATACTACCCACTCGCAATAATTTGAAAAAAAAAGAAGATCAGTCGAAATCGCACCGAAGAAACGGACAACTCGAGTCTAATTTCCGCTTTCGAACTCTTTCGCTGGTATATCTCACCCCTCTCTCTTTCTTCTCTCACTCTCTCTCTCTCGTCGCGAATCTGCGACTCCGTTAATCACTCATCTCTTCGTCCATCGTCCATTCACGTTGTATCGCCGATCAAATAATAAATACAACAATACCTTATTCGCACCCGTTGCTTCTTAGCATCACATTTTTTTTCCGCCGTTGTCCCTTCTCCGCTGTTTTCATTACCGTTACTTAAGCTTTATCGTTACTTTGATAGATAATTTAGTAATAGTACGACGATACCTTAATAAGGCCCAGTAAGGCTGCGTGGGTCGAACGTGACATTCCCACGAAAAAAATTTCATTTATATCTTTTTTCTTTTTCTTTTTTTTTTTGTTTCTCTTTAACCGCGCGCGTCATTTCGGAATAATTAACCACGACGCGGGCGCATCTCGCTCAAGATGTATTCAACGAACAGCTTTGCAAAAGAATGCGCAAGAATTGTCATCCCGTAAAAGGCATTCCCCCCCTCCCGTCCCATCCCTCGTTTATTGTCGCGTTATTGTTTCTTGCGTAATTATTGATTATCTCGCGCGTATCCACATTACTTTCTCTTTCCGTATAATTTCCAGTTCCTGAATTGTTTCCCAATTCTCGACGCCTTGCCGTTAGAAACGTTAGAAACTCGCGATTAAATGTACTTTTTCGGTGTACGCGTCCACGACAAATTTTCGCGAGTTCAGCGGTGGCACATTTTTTCCTCATTTGGATTAAGAAAAAACTGCAAAATGTTCTTAACATTAACGGTACGAGACCGAGCACACGAGTGGTGTGTAGTTTCTTTTTTTTTTTTTTAATTGTGTATCGAATATATTGTCGTATATACTTTTTTTTACGTTTTGATTGAATTTTATCGGATTATCGGTATTTGTCTGTAAAATCGTCGAAATATACGCACGCTCGCAACACCTCCGTCCAACCAATCATTCGTCCTGGGGTCGTAATCTTAATAATACGATTATTTATATAATAATAATTTTTTTTTGAACTTTGGAAATTTTCCATTCAAACTCCCGACCCCGGCACACTGGTTTCACGTGTATTTGTGTATGCGTATAGGTGTGTCGATATATGTGGCTGCGTATGCGTGCGTGTGGAATATATA